CCACATCCCTGGAATGTTCAAGGCTGGAAGACCCTGGGATAGTGGAAAGTGTCCCATAGCAGGGGGTTGGGACAAGATGAGCTTCAAGGTCCCTTCCAACCCAAACCATTCTGGATTTCATAAATTTCCTATTGTGTCAAACCCAAACCAGCAATTCCTCTGAATTATTCTCTACTCCAAGCAAAAGGGGAGACAAAACCAAAACAGATGAGTGAACACAAACTTGCTGAGGCTTCACAAAACTGGTTTTAAATAACAAGTCAATTTAACATGAATAATCACTGGAAATATTAAACTCATTAATTCAGCTACAGCAAATTGCTCCCAGAATTTTTCCAGGTTCAGGTTAAAGACTTGGCATTTCCCAAGATCCATAAAAGCCCTTCCCAGTGCATCTTTCAGTATCTCCTCTCTCCAGCAGGCTCTGAGCACAGCGAGCTGAGCCGAGCCCACCTCGGGCAGTGCTGCTGAAATCAGGTCACACCCAGCTGTGTGTGTGCCACTGAAAATGGGGTCTGTGACACTGAAAACGGGGTCTGTGTCATGGAAATCGGGGTCTGTGTCACTGAAATTGGGGTCTGTGTCACTGAAAACGGGGTCTGTGTCACTGAAAATGGGGTCTGTGCCACTGAAAATGGGGTCTGTGCCACTGAAATCGGGGTCTGTGTCACTGAAACCGGGGTCTGTGCCACTGAAATCGGGGTCTGTGTCACTGAAATTGGGGTCTGTGTCATGGAAATTGGGGTCTGTGCCACTGAAATCAGGGCACCCACCCCTCCTATCCCAGCCCAACCCAGCCCAGCCCATCATCCCATCCCATCCCCTCCTGGAGCACAGGGAGAAAGGGAAGGATGTGGGCACAGCCCAAAACAACACCTGGACATCCCACTTGGGCACAACAGGACTGGATCTCTTAAAAAGTGTGGCCTCAGTAAACTCGGTTTTAGAGCACCACCAGCAGCATCCCAGCTCAGGCTTAAGAGGTCTAAATTAAGAACATCCTACTTTTCCCTGTGCAGCCATAAATCCAGAATCCTATTTAAGTGGTCACTGGCAGCTGGAGATGAAACAAGGCCAGGAACAAGGGGCTGAAGTTTTGAAACTGGGTGACAAATGTCAGGCAAAAACCCAATTATTTAGACCCAGAGGCAGATTAGGAGTGAGGGACTATTGCTCCAAAAGATTTTTAATATCTGCTTTCTATCACTTCCTCTCCCCAGTAAGTTTGGTTTCAGCACTACACAAGAATATTTCCTTAAGGTGAAATAAAACCTGATTTGATGCAACTCTACAGAATTAGCACATTTTCCAAAATAAATAAAAATGATGCATTTTGTCATAGAATATTTAATAGCTCCTAATCTGAGCATTAATTGGTTTGAAGCTGGAAAATAAAACAATTGCTCCCAGTATGTCAGAAATTGCTGACAAGATGGAGGTTGGGAGAAACTTTATTTCTGCTTTTTACTTCTGAGTATCTCTCATGGCTTCAATTTTCAGGTTATGAGACTGGGTAGGAAAAAAAACCCCACAAATACTTTTACAATTCACATGTCATAATGTGCTCTCTGGAATTATCCAAGCACAGAGATCTTCAGGGCCAACAAAGTCATTAAGGCAAAGCTTTGGAGGAAAGGATTTTATTAAAAACTATCAAGTTGCACCACTTCATTTTGCACAGTTTCTAAAGGATTTTTAGAGATGAAATAAAAATATTCACAAGAAAACCAGGAAAAATATCCTTATTTGCCTGCAGCAGTGAAGGATGATTGGATATCAGTCAAGAGATCCTTTTCCATCTTGAATTCTCTCTCACCACACAAGGTATCAATACTGCTTTTATTTTGTCACAAAGGATGAATCTGGGACACAAAACCCAGCAATTCTTTAAGAAAACCCCTCGTGGCTCAACATCAAGCAAAAACCCAATTGTTCCCAGGCAAACCTGCACAGGTTGGCAAGCTGGAGAAGAGAGGAGTTTGAGCAGAGTTCAGTCAGTGCTGGCTGTGCAGCGCAGCTGATTCAACATTCTCAACAAACTGACCCAAAAAGGCTTCCCTGATTTAACCAAAACTGCACTTTTAGTCCCTGAAAGGAGAGGGCACACATCCACCCCAGTATCCACTGGGAGTTACTGGGGAGCTGTCCTGCAGGAACTACCAAACTCTCAGTTCTTCCTTCTACAAGAAAGCACTAAAAATGAGATTTTATAACCCAACAGAAATTCTGCAGGCAAGGGGAATGAATTCTGCAACCTCCACCCATCGTGTCTAGAAGGAGCAAGAGTAAAATGTGCTGGTAGCAAAGCACTGAGGGATGAAACATTTCCTGGGGTGGTGCTGCCAGAAGGGCTCTGCCACTCTCCCAAACTTTATTTCTATTTGCCTGCTAAGCAGGCGTGCTGGGCATGCAGCAAAGAGGGTGGCTGGACATTTTGAAGAGGCAAATCTCTTGCTGTAGATGGCAAATCTAAAAGTCTCTGATCTCTTCTTCAAAGGCTCAGAGGAATGAAAGAGAATTCTGCCAGAATATACAGAGCAGCAACAGCATCTTAGGGATGTTCTAAGGGGAGTATTTCCCAGGAGTGAAGCACAACTTCATTCCTTTTACAGATTTTTTTCTGAATCAAGATTTTCAGCACAAAAGAAGGGTATCAGTAATAAAAAGTATATAATTTAAATATATATTTATTTCTTTTAAAAATTTATTTTAATTTTTATTTATATGTGATATATATCTATTTAAATTTAATTTTTTTTAAGAACACACAATGGATACAATCTCTTTCACTTTAAATAATGAAAAGCATCTTTTCCATCAAATTTAGCAGCACAGGAATAACCCTACATTTATGTAACAGATTAAATGTCTGGATTTTAATGAAACTCCTTCCTCGTTTCCTGGGATAAAGCTCTTCCCAGTTTCCCAATATCAGAAGGACTTAGCACAGCTGCTTTGGAAGGTGCTGGTTTGCTTTGCTCCACTCAATTAAACCAGACAAGAAACACATTTAAAACCCCAAACAGACAACCTGAGAGCCACCTGGATTTCTGCTGATCCACAGCAAAACAAGTCCAGGAGAGCTGGAACAGAGGAAGAACCGAGGGAGGGGGGGAGGAGAAAAAAAAAAACCCTGAGATTTCTAAAGCTTCTTAGGGGGTGAGGAGAAAAAAAAAAAAAAGCTTAAGGAATCTTTACCTCCAAAGCAATCCTGCCACAGGACACACACAGGGAGGAGGGAGCAGGAAATCCACCCTTGGAGTACTGAGGAACAGTCCAACTCCTTCTCCCATCCAAATTCCTAAAGCAGCCGAGGAACAATTGAGGAACACGCCCTGCATTGCTCAGCCCTGCTGGAGGAATCCTTCGGAGCCTCTGGGAGCATTTAGGATTCCAAACAATAGTTCCAGGCATTAATTAAAGTTGGGACTGGTGGAGCAATAATTGTGTGAAACCCAAGGTGTGCTCAGCAAAATTCAGTCACTTATTTCAGCCCACCAGCCCAAGTTAAAATCAATATTTCAAGCTATTTCTAAATTAAGAATTTTTGTTGTAGTCAGCAACATACAGACAAATCATTATTACAGAAAAATTAAGATGTTTGTTATCCTACTGCTAATTAAAAGCCGAGATCAAAAATTCTCATAGCTGGAAACCTTCACTCACATTTTTTGTACCTTCACTCACATTTTTTGTACTCTCTATGCTAAAAAAATTTCCTTTAGGAAATAATTTTTTCTGCTTGTCTCCAAAGCTTTAAACAGAGATTTTCTCCATCCTGGTTTGATTTTCCTGCTATCTCCTCCTGCAAATGTCAGCAGGGCTGACCCCACTCATGGATTTATGATTTAAGAAGCACTTTGGGACCCAGGACATGACAAACTTCAGAATTCTTAAAGCTGGTGCTCAATGGTTCCTGCACCCTGGCTCAGTCACAGCCCTCCACACTCTCTAAACATTCATTTAAAGAGAAGATTTCCCTTCAGAATTAGACCACAACCACTGACATCCCAGCCAAAGCAGCTTTCATCAGATCATTACTTACATTAAGGAGGATTTAGTGCCAGATCAGGCCTCTTCCTGACATGACAGGGAGTCCCACCAAGCAGTGCTGGAAAGAATTTGCTCTTCCCCACATCACTGTATTCATTTTTTAAGAATGGAGTATAGTATTTAGGAGAGACACACACCAAATACCGGATCAGGCCTCTTCCTGACATGACAGGGAGTCCCACCAAGCAGTGCTGGAAAGAATTTGCTCTTCCCACATCACTGTATTCATTTTTTAAGAATGAAGTATAGTATTTAGTATTTAGGAGAGACACTCACACACCAAATACCAAGAATTTAAATATTTAAATACAGATTTAAAGCACTCCTCCTCCAAGAATTGCTGAGTAAGCAATAAAGGAAATTAAACAGCAGCATTGTTGCCGAAGTCCAATAGGAGCAGCATAAAGTAGCAAAATGATTCAGGAAATATTCTGTATTCCTTATTTATTCTTAACCCAAGCCCAGGCTGGATGGGACTTGGAGCAGCCTGGGATAGTGGAAGGTGTCCCTGAGCATGGCAGGAGGGTGGAATGAGATCAGCTTTAAATTCCCTCCCAAGCCAAACCATCCTATGATTCCATCCTGAACAAAAAGAACACGTCTTCAAGCACTCCTTTTAAAGCCAGAAACAAAAAGGAAATCCCTTTCACACCCTCCCCATCACAGCAAACACTGGAACAGGTTCACAAGAGCAGCCTGGCACCGCTACCTTTGGAACTGACAGTAAACAAGGGCTTTTAAAATCGATTTCCATCACTACACACGTCCTCTCCAAAGCAAATATTTACCCAGGCATCTGCAGAGACATCAACAGCACGGAGCAGACCCACAGAGATCCCAGATCCCCTGGCAGTCAGCATTTCCACTCTCCCACAGGCACCATTCACTCCCAGCCCCAAGAGCAGCTCTCCACAGAAAAGGATTTGGGATGTGTTTGCTGTACTTACAGCCATGGTAGGATGCTGGGGATCCTCCAGACTTTCCATACTCCTGCTCTGAGTAGCTGGTGGACAGGTTGGGCTGGCTGGAGCCTCGGCCAAAGGTGATCTGGTTGCTGCCCACCCCAGTGGCCACCTGAGCCATCCGTTCTTTGGTCTTCAGGGCTTGGGCCCTCTCTGTCTTGAGGCGCTCGTCGTCCTTCAGAAGGGACACCAGCTGCTTGGATTTCTCCCTCACGTTGATGCCCTGGTCCTTCCCATCTCGGTCGATGTACTGAAAATCTTTCAACGTCTGGATAGCAAAAATATTCTCTTTACACTGCTGGGCCACCCTCTCAGACCCAGTTTTAATCAGGTAATCTAAGAGAGTGAGGGCCTTGTAGACGTGTCGCCAGTTCTTGCCGTGGTCATTCAGTCGTTTCCAGATCATGCTCATAATTTCAGAAAAGGCCACAACATTGTAGGTCAGATCTGCTATTTCAGTCATCAAGGAACTGGAAGGACCCCAGGGGTCATTCGAGGTCGCTTCCCGAACTTTTATTTCGGCCTCTGAGTAATTGTTCACAATGTTCTTCATCTGCCGTCGGATAGACGAAGTCGTCATTTTTATTTCCCTTTTTACCAAGACAGATTCCACAACACAAACAGCAAAGGGCTAAATTTGCTCTTCTAGGAACGTTTCTGAACTGCGAAGGCTCCGTAGCAGTGGCGTGCTTGTGACACGTTCCACTACAATCATTTCCTCTCCTCAAGAGAATGACACGAGAAAATGAAAATCATGACCTGAGTGAGGAAAGAAAACAAAGCAGGTTAGTTGGGTCTGATTGTTCTGCACAGCCAGCAAGCCACACATACTTGGGAGAAATTTTCCTAGATTAATTTTTTCCTCCTTGAATTTCTTCTGATTTTGAAAATAACTTGTTCTTCTCACGAGTCACATTAAACATTTAAGATTAAAAACCTGAAGTGCTGAGCAAAACAAAAGCAAGAAGACAATCAGGCTGATACAAAGGCAAAATTTCAAAAGCAAACCAGAAACAAAGTCTAACCTGGAGATTTAGTTTCCAATGTAAAGCCTACCTAGAACTTTAAATTACAGAAATTACAAAGCTCAGATGAAACCACATGAGGAATTCCATGTTCAGCAGCCCTCTAACAGTAGGAATCTGCACCCAGACAGGACGAGCAAATTTCCAAAAAATCAACCAAGCCATTTCTGAAACCCTGGGTAGTTTAAAGTCCTCTCAGTCTCAGAACAGGGATCCTGTGGCCCAACATACTCCAACTCAAGGTGACCTTTCATGATAAGTAGACTAGAAGGAATTTTTTTGTACCCAAATGCATTTACTTTGTTCATTTGACAACACTCAGCAGACCCACACTTTCTGCTCCGTGTTTTTCACACAGCACTGAAGAATTTTTAATTCTATGAGAATGGAATTGTAAAGCCAAAATGATTGGCAAGAAAAGGCAAGGACAAGCTGTGGAGCTGGAAAGCTGTGTCAGTTCTTTAGTTAAGGTCACTGTTTCAAGTAAACAGAGGCCTATTAAGCTTTGGAATAAATTACTTGAGCAAACTGGCAGATTGGCCATTCCATGAACACAGAGCAGCCCTGAGGGCCACCAGTGGCACAAACACTGAGCAGGGACTCTGCCACTGAGCTGGCCACGTTCACAGAGATGCCCACTCCAGATGTCCTTTAATGTTCCTCCAAACACTCCAAGAACCAACCTCATCCCTCACAGAGACACTGGAGACAAGGAAAGCACAGATTTCAAACCTGACATTGTTGTAATTCTTGAAATTACCACAGTGCCCCTTCCATGCACAGATTAAACTCCATTTCTTGGGATACACACGGTTCTTCTCGCTGTGCATTTCACCTGCCATTTTACCCCTCAGCAGGTCTCAATCCTTCATCATTTCTTTCAATTCAAGATTCAATTCAAATTTTACTAATTTGCTTCAATTTAGCCATCTTATTATTTTGGGGCAATCTGCTAAAGGGAGTATTTGCATGAGCACTGATCTCTGGCAGGACACTTGGCTGAGAAGAGCTCTTCCCTCTGAGAACCAACATTTACTCCTAACCCCATTTCCTGCCCTTTAACCCATTGCAAATCTATGAAAAACATTCTTGCCTTATGAAAGTTTTATTTCTTTCAAGGCCAGGGATGAGAGGCCTTCCCAAAATCTTTTTACAAGTGCACTACAGGAGCAAGTGCCTCACCTGTGTGTATATCTCCCCAGTCAAAGACAAGTTTCTTACTTTACAACTCCACAGGCTTTTGGAAAAATAATTTTAACACCTCACATGTAAAAGTCCCTGAAGAATTAACCACCCTCACAACACAAGAGTGCTTCCCTTTTCTCTCTCTTGCACCAAATCCACCCATTTTTACACAACAGCACAGGAAAAATACTCCAAGTCTCTTAAGCTTTGCAAGTAAGAACAACCCAACCCTGGATCACTTCTGGAGCTGATTAAATGCAACAAAAAGCTGTCATGGTCTAAAAAAACAGAGCAAAGAGCCTTCATTCCCTCCCAATTACAGCCCACTAGGAAAGCAGGCACTTGGTTTTGGAGAAGAAACCAAAGGAAGAACTCCTTTGGAAGCTTTTCTAAGTCTGGAGGAGCACTTTTAAAAACAATCCCAGAGCAAACACAGGAGAGAACACACTGGGTAAAGAGAAACCAGCAATTTTCACACTTCCAGGAAATTAAATATTTCACTTGTTGCTCTGTAACAGACTCAAAACCCATCAATCCATCAATGCTGAGGGATTCTTCACTTTCCTATCTTCAGTCCTGAAAACCAAGGCCTTCAATGAGAGAAACATTAAGGTCTGTTTTTTCCTTTTCTTGATGGACATGTTTTCATCTTACTCTACTCATAGCCCATACAAACCAATTTATTCTAAACCTCATGATAAACACCCAGGGGGTGACAGGATGGAAAGCTGATGGAGCTGTACCAATACTCAGGGTCCTGCCTTGGCAGTGGGACTGACCCTCACCCAAGAGCTCTGGTTTTGTCCCTGCTTTACTCACTCTGCTCCCACCACACAACGGAAGCCTTCTCCTGGATTATTCCAAATCTTGCAGCACCACAACAATTTATTTTGTCATTAAACAGATCAAAAAGGCAAACACCCCAACTGCATAAAAGAGGAACAGTTTCTAACGCATTCTAACAAATTCTTACACAGAAAGCTTCGATTTCTTTTTTCCAGAGACATCAGTGAATTAACTTCTCACAACAAGCCACAAGGAAGCACAATGCACTTGCAACTTCAGCAAAAATGTGAGTTTGCATTTTCAACAGCAGAGTTGCAAAGAAAGCAGAAAGTGAGACCAGTTGATTAAAGCTGTTTCTGGTTAACAGGAAAAAAGCTTGAGCAGATTTCTGTGGAAGTTAAACAGTTCAGTCCTGGGGAGCCTTCCTCAATTTTGCTCTTGGTCCCTACAAGCCATTTTCTCTGATTTTAAAGTATCTGACATCTCCAATGGCAAAGCAAAGAGATGTGCAGACAAGAAGGTGAAGCTTACCTGTGTTAGCAGGAGGAACCTGGAGGGAAACACTCCGTGCCCTTCTATTCCAGCAATTCCATTACACAAATAATGAATTCTCCTGGTGCTTTCCTACACTCAGCGTGCAGACAGAAGCAATTCTTGCCTGAACTCTTCATCTCTCTCACAAGAGATGAAGCTCAGTGAATGAAATCTGCATGAGGAAACATCTCTAACTTGCTGAGACTAACACAGAACCAAGGCCAAGCCACAAAGTCCTTCATAAACTCAGTTCAAAGCAAACAGCCCCACAAATCCACCTATAGACAGGCTTTCAGCAGAATCCATTCACACCTCTGGAATGTAAAACTCCAACCAGGATTTGTCTGCACTGATAAAATGCCCTTTATATCAGCCTGAAGGTAAATATCTGCACAGCCCAGCTAAGCATGCACCGGAAATATATGAAAAGCTTTTAATATCAAGTGTGAAAATTAACATCAAGCATCAGGAGTTCAGCAGACATTTGCATAAAATTTTAATTAACAGTATTACAGACAACATATATCCTTAGATTAGACATTTACTGTAAGTCACATGCATGAAAAGGGAGGTTTGGAAAATAGTTATTAATTCAGTCAGTCTGTGATCTGAATCTGCAGAACATTAATCTACATAAAAATATTCCAGCCTTGCTGCCTCCCCTCTCAGGGGGAATACACAGAGATCTGCTCTCCCTGCTACCAGGCTGCAATGACACAGGCAGATGATGCTCAGGGACTTGCATTCCAGGATAAATCAGGGAATTCTTGCCAATGTGCCAAGGATCAAGCTCAGAGAAGCTGCTGCCAGTTGCTGACTGAGGAATCTGACAGATACTGACACCCCAACGAGAAGTCAGCTCCTATTTATGGCAAAGAAAAGGGATTCCCATTGCCTGACACTGAATTCACCTCCTGCTTTTCCTGGGATAGCTCGTTGTGTGTCTAAATCCAAGCCCACTGTGTTTTACAGAGTCTCATTTTCCACAAACAGCTCAGAAATCAGAAAAAACCCAAGCACAAACCTTCATATAAAAATCAGGAATATAATGCAGAAAAAAGCCATTTTTCTTATACTAAATTCAGAATGCTAGATAAGATTTTAAAACTTAACTAATTCTCTGATTTTTTTCTTTCTTCATAAATTTTTCTCAGAGAACAACTGGCTGACCAGAGGGTACCATTACCCTGCCTAGGATAAAATATTCAACTGCAATCCCAAAACCAAACAGGAAAAGGGGCAACTGTGCATCGTGGCCACTTGGAGGAAAGGACTGAGAGGACAGAAGACACTTGGCACTACACAGAAAAGCCAACAAGCAGAACACTTATTAGCTCTCTTTTGCTATTCTACAGCAGAGAAAACAGCAATTCATGGGAATAAAACAGCAAAATGAAGAGCCTGAAATTCCCATCAATGCCCTTCCTCAACCTTCAACATTATTTAGGAAATGAGTTACAAATACAGATTGGCAAAGGGTTTGGAGAACAGGGTTAACTCCAGATGAAAGGTTTCAGTTCCATTTTTCACAGCTTAAATGCTTGTCTTCAGTGTAATTTCTGAGGAGAGGAAATGGTTCAAAATTCAAAGTTTTGGAAGCTTTCCACTCCCTTTTACAAATGAGAGAACAAGGTCAGCTTTCACAGACAGCAGGTGGCCAAATTATTTCTTTATTTAAAGAGTTAATGCTGAAAGATAATTCTCCTTCAAATTTATGCATATTCATGAGTGCCAAGGTTTGATTCTGCACTGGTTTTACAGTCCTGTCTCAGCCTCACTGAGGGAAAGGAGCTCCAGCTTGAGCAGACTTTTAGCTGTAAAAGAGATTTACAGACACAAATCTGGTTCTGTTTTCTCCATACCACCTTTTGTTAAGTCTTGTCTCCTTAAATTCCCAGGATTTGAGCTCCATGGGAAGCTCATTTCTCAAAGTGGATGGGAAGGGGAGTGAGGAGCAAATCTCCAACCTGCCTCACACAGTAGCACCACCTGGCCACGTCCTTTTGGGACCTGCCAAGCCACAGCTGCTGGGGCTTTGTCACCCCCAGCTCCACCAGCATTTGTGAGGCTTTGTCACCCCCAGCTCCCTTGCCTTTGTGGGGTTTTGTCACCCCCAGCTCCTCTGGCCCTTGTGGAGCTTTGTCACCCCAGCTCCACCAGCATTTGTGGGGCTTTGTCACCCCAGCTCCACCAGCATTTGTGGGGCTTTGTCACCACCAGTTCCACCAG